TTGGGTAATTGATATTAATAATCCAAAAGTCTTGAGAAATTTTGGCACTTAATTATCAAAAACCGAGGAAGAAAAGACCAGTCAGCAGATTTCTAGTGCATGAAGTCCATAAAGGACTTTTTGGTCAAATGGATGAAAGTGCAAAAATTCGTAAATGTTTACTTTCCAAACAACTTAAGGCTAAGAAGATAAGAAATTGTGCAATGATAAGCTTGCCAACTTGCCTGTCCTTGAAGAAAAGAATAAAATAAAAACAACTATCGATAGTGGATATATATATATATGGATTATGAATTGTATTTTATGAGTGTATAATTGTAATGTAACTATAATTACAAAATGCACATTAATAGAATCAAATTCAACTATAAATCTATTTTATTAACATAAATATACCAAGATTTATATAAATTTTGAGCTACGGCCCGGAAAACTTATAAATTTGCTTAAGTTGTCTATTAACTCATCAGTTACCGAGTTAACAATTTTTTTCTTTTTTTCTTCAATGATATTTTTCTGGCCTCACACATTACTTCATTAATTGGTTTTCTACTATTTTCCTGGTGTCGTCATCGAACCACTCTAGACTTTCGTCTATATTTGGATAAAAAGATTTTGTTCACTAGGGTTATTACATTCTATTAAAAACTGCACCCATTGAGTTTTTAACATTTGGTCATGTCATCTTCTGGCTATTTCTTCTTTTTTTGGTGGCGATACAGATTTGTCATCGATGATATTATGTTACCGTTATTATGCTAAAAAAGAACTTTGAACAAAAGTTCAGTCTGCATATTAATAAGATTTTAAACAATAATTCGCGTAATTGCAAATAACACATTACCATTTATTTTTTGGAAACATTTCATTTATTTTTAATTATAAATATATCGTACGTCATATAAGTAGTAAGTATATGTATATACATACACAAGATATATAATTAACTGTAAAATATAATAAATAAAGTCGACTAAAATATATTTTAGTTACTTATACATATATTTCAACAAATCTACAACTTGTAATAAACGATGTATTTCCTATACTAATAGTTAGATGAAATTTTAATTAGTACATAAATTTTAATGATTGCTTGCTCATTTACATCTTTGATCCGCGCTTTGACGCTAATTAGGTTACGGGTCTATAATCGTATGAGTTCGTAGTCACAAACTGCTAAAAGGCTATGTTTTAGCTGTTTGAGCGAGCGTTTTTACATATAAAAACTAACCTCCAATAGACTCAAACGTCAGAATTTTATCTTGGTTAGTATTAGACTACTCACTCATACGATTATAACCCCATAACCTAACATTATTATATTATCCGAAAATTGGTCGAATCGAAGTCGTAAAAATGTCGTTAAAATATAATCTTCAAAAATGTTTTTACTTTTGGATTTTTATTTACCAAAAAAGGCAGAGCCAGCAAAAGGAGAAAATTTAAAATAAAGAACAACAAATACATCCTAAAAATCAGCTACATCTCAAAGTTAAGTAAGTGAGCCATCAAAACCAACACTTCGTCAGACCTTGCAAACTAAAAGAAGGAAGAAAATTGAAAATAAAGAACAATCAAAGGAGAATATTCCCATTAAAACGCTGACTAAATCCACTGTGGATGATGAAAGTGATAATCATATATGTTAATAAAATTATTTATATATGTCCAATATTGTGCAAAAATAAGCCCATTGTGAGTGAGGATGGTACAATTAATGTACCTTACCTCAAAAACGCCAATTGGAATATAGAGTTAAGCACTGGGCATTCATATTATACTCGATGTCAAACATCGTTGTTGTGTGCGGGCTCTAAATGAATGTTTATTTAAAACCACCAAATAAATATTTATTTGGTGGTCACCTTTGGATATGTTCAATTTTATCATCGTATATTAAATATATTGTTTGTAATTAAACAACAACTATAATTTTAGGATGCTATTGTATCAGTATAAGGATGGAGAGTTTGTTCAAAACCAGATACAAAAACTGGAACTGTTTTATTATAATGTTATTTGTGTGACTTTAAAACTTTACCTGTAAAAACTGAAATGCTCAATGTTTTGCTCTTAAATTGAAACACGAATCACACGACGCTTGTTTTCGGACGCTGGGATTTCCCACTTGATTTTTTTGCCGATGACGGCGCTGTAAATCATGATATTTTTCTAGCCGTACGCATCACACGAGGTTTGTTTTTGAGCGTTGGTGAGTAAGTGAATTGTAGCGTGCGACATAACCTCAAAAGTGATAAAAATGAACAGTGCATGTGCATCTGTACAAATTCTTAACTGTAAACGTACTATAGTGCACGCTTATTTAACAACTTTGATAACATTCCATAAACAAAGCCGATCAAGAAAGCGTGAGTGGAGTCGTTGTGTATTAAGTATGCTGTTTAATGAACTTGGGTAAGTCTACTTTATTTATTTGATATTTAAATATTGCTGAAATATTATAGACTTATTGTTTGTAAGTAATATTTTATATGCAAATTAAAATTACCTTTTGTAATAGTTGGTGATGATGCATTCTGTCTGAAGGAGAACCTTTTAAAACCATATCCATATAGGGGTCTGACCTATGAAAAGAAGATTTTCAACTAGAAGTTGAGCAGGGCTCGGAAGGTTGTGGAGAATGCCTTTGAGATCTTGGCGAACAGTTGGCGTATTCTATTGACTACGATACCACTGGATGTGAAAAGAGCGGAAACAATAACATATGCATGCATATTGCTTCATAATTACATATTATCTAAAAAAGTGCATGCTACTGGTATGTACCTAGCGATTTACACAAGTCTAATTTTCAAACAAATATTACTGAAATGAAGGTTTCTACAAACCCTTCATAATCATCAAATCGGAGTAGTGATGATGCTCTAAAAATTCGTGATTAATTTTGCTATTATTTTAATAATGAAGGAATGGTTCCCTTTCAGCTTTCTGCTGTTACAAAAGGACATTTATAAGTCTCATATCAAATGCTGAAATATTATTCTTATTATTATTATTATATATTATATATTACTTATTATTATAATTAAAATAAAATGTTTCTTCCAAATAAAAAAATGTTTTAAAGTAAAAATAAATATAATTTATTTCAGATACATATTACACATTCTTATGCTTATATTATAATTAAAATGAAATGTTTCTTCTAAAAATGGTTTTAATGTTTAAAAATAATTTATTTTATTCATTATTTGCACTTATACTGCCTTCTTAGAGAAGATTTTGTTGCCTACCATCCAATATAATGCCCTCGTTCTTCAATAGAGTTGCTCGTTGCAAATCTACATTTGTTAAATATTCAGTGAAAACCACTCGTTTAATAGATAATTATCTAATCTTTTTGAATCGAATGGGATTAAATTTGGAAAAATTATGCGTATGAGTCAATTTGTGACCTCTCGCCAACGCTTTCCCAAAAACGACTTCTCTCAAAAAGTTTAAAATCTATTTGATGTAGGACTAGGACTAGCGTTTATAAATTTTGCAGGCCGACAAGCAAAGCCATTTGATTAAATTAGCAGAAGCGTGCAAAATTTGTTGTCCACGCTTTAGCCAAAAATTCTGAACCGATGGCTTTGGGCCGGAATGATATTGAAATTGAATAATTTTAACAAAAATTTCCAATTATTCATTGAAAACCACTTGCTGGCTATTCATGTTTAATGGATAATTATCTAATCATTCTGAATCGAATGGAATTAAATTTGGAAAAAGTATGTGTATGAGTCAATTTTTGACCTCTCGCCAACGTTTCCCCAAAAACGGCTTTTCTCAAAATGTTTTAAAATCTATTCGATGTACATCTATACGTTCTATTTCATAGAAAATGATCTCTAAATTTACAAAAAAGTTTAGGATCTATTCTTAAAATGAATTGTCGTGACACTTTATCGAGTTTAAAATTTTGACATACTGAAAAATTTGCCGCTCCCTAAATTGTGCCGCCTTAGGCCCGAGCCCAGCACTGAGTATATGCCAACACTATTAGATATGATATACATATATAATGAAATAGTATAAACATAATCAGAAGAGTGGCTGACCGCTGAGTTGCCTCTCGAGAAAAGTGGTAGACTAGAAAGTAGATCCTGTCCGCTTCTTTATTTCAGTGAATAGCTCACTCAACGAAGTAGTCTCTTCGACTGATAATATTTGTTGTTTGAACGAACTGTATGATTGGATTAAAGAAGCTAGAATACAAGATGATCAAGTAAACAAATTATTAAAAATAATAAACAAATATTTTGATACAAATTTGCCAGAAGAAGTACAGGGTTTGGTACAAATAATTGAAAACCGTGAGCCTGATATTACAATTGCTCAAAGGTTTTCACAATGGTAGTCATCCCACTATCTCTACTATTGAGGATGAGGAGCAATCGGTAGCGAGTAAGTCAGCGATTTCCAACCTGTGGGGCGCGCCCCCCTGGTGGGGCGCGGTGCCGTCCCAGGGGGGGCGCGAAGCTCTTTCAAAAATATGGTTGTTAAATGCTGAGTAAGTGTCAAAAACAAATCAGCAAAATGTATGCAAGTAATCTACAATTTTCGCTGCAATTTTGTCAGGACAAATGTAAAAGCATGAATATACTATACTTTTGGTGCATTCAAAATATTTCGTTTTTGCGTTTGTAGTTGAGTGAGCTGTAGGCCTATAAACAAAAGATAAACACTCGGATCATATCGAATATTCACGTGCTTACTCGAGACCAACTTAAGTAAATAAACAAAAGCATCCTTTTTATTCTGTTATCTATAAATCGAATTAGTTCATTAGTTGTGCTGGAGATACACGCGTTGATATATAGAAAAAATCATTTCTAAATTATTATTGAGTTAAAATTTATAGCTTTAGTTTTAGTACATTATTAGCCAGGAATTATTGTGAAAAGTAGTGAAAAAGTGATTTTCTTTGATTTGTTATAAAAACCGTTTGTAATGGATAAATACGTGACTGGGTTGAAAAGAAAGTTTAATGAAGCAGAAAAAGAGGGTGGTGAAAATAATGGAAATGTTTCTTCACAAAATAGTAAAACTAAACATAGAAAATATGATCCAATGTACTTATCATTGGGATTTACGTATAAGATCATTAATGGTCAAGAACGACCAATGTGTTTGCTGTGTATGAATACTTTGGCCTCAGATAGCATGAAACCAAGTAAATTAAAACGACATCTGGAAAAAGTGCACGCCGATCATGTTGGCAAAACAAAAGAATTTTTCCAAAGAAAATTAGATAACTTAAATAAACAGAAAGAATCGTTTTCAAAAGCTTTGTCTGTATCACAAAAAGCGTTACTTGCGTCATACAAAGTTTCGTATAGAATTGGGAATTTGAAAAAAAAAATTTTATATTTATTTTTATGCGCTTTAAAACTACATTATTAAATTTATTGATATGTGAAAGAAAAAACAAAAAAAAATGTTTTTTGAATTAGTTATGGGCGTTTAAAAATTCATTAAATTCAAAAATTAACGTTAACGTTAACGCGCCACGATTGGCTACCGTGCCTGTGACGTCACATTGTAATTCCTCATAACAGCGCAGTGCCGTTACTCTGTTAGTGTGCAGTGCTTGCGGCTATATTTTACGGAACTTGATAAACACGTGGTAAATTTTCCTTTAAAAACGATTTGTTGAAGTTAATTTAGTGTAACTATGTGTGATACAGGATTTATAAAAGCAAATTCTGATAATGTACCTAATATTGATATATTTATGGTAGCCGATTTTCTAAAAAATGATGTTCGGTTTAATTCTGCGGAAGTTCGAGGCGCCAAGGCATTGATGTAAGTCTGTTAAAAAATATTATGAATCACAATATTTAAGTATTAATTTTATATTGAATATAATTACCTAATAAATTAATTTTAGAGCATCGCGTGAAAGTTACGGCGACAAAGCTGTGGGTTATGCTCAACTTTGTCGTAAAAATGGAATTTGTATTTTAAAAGCACGTGTATCTCCAGAACATCGAGTTCGAAGCAAAGCCTATTAACAATTAATGAAAGGTTAAGAAAAGTTCAGGATATTAAATGCCATGACTGTGCAGCTTCAGCAGGTATTTAGTAATCCGATTAAATTCTAGTTATTGAATTAATTTTATAAATGAAAATCATTTTTATATTGAATGTACAGGTGGTTGCAAACATGCATTGGCATTACTTATGTGGACCCATCGCAGGAGCGAAGATCCGACACCTACAGAAGTTGCTTGCTACTGGAAGAAGTCTAAATTATCAGGCGTAGGAACTACAGTAAAATATATTCAAGCTGAAAAATTGACAAAAAAAAACACAGTTACTTCAGTTGAAAATTTGCCAGATAACAAAACATTTTTGAAAGAAGTAATTGAACTAGCCAAAAACCATCAAATAAACTGTCAAATCGGACAGTTAAACTTCGATATAAACTTGAAAAAAACTTATAGTTTATCTTTACACCGCATTATTTTTGATTTTAAGAAAAGTGATTCGCAAGTTCAAAATTTTTTAGAGTTCGCAAAGATTGCAATGAAAGAAGCTGTGTGCCAAGAGGCTGAAGAATTAACAAAACAACAAAGTGAGTGTGCAATTTGGCATGAACTTCGATATGGACGCATAACAGCTTCAAAATTTTATGAAGCTGCTCATTGTAAAACTGATAATGGGTCACTAGTACAACAAATCATTGGTGCTGGTAAAGTTTATCAAACAAAGGCTATGGCACGAGGAAAGAAGCTGGAAAAGAAAGTTATTGAAGTTCTGGAGAAAGAACTAAAAGTAGAAATTGCGCCTTCAGGAATTTATCTTTCACCTAGCCATCCAGTGTTTGCAGCATCTCCTGATGGAGTAACTAGTGATGCTATAATTGAAATAAAATGTCCCTCAAGTCAAAAATCAATGTACACTTTTTTGCCAAAGGGCAAAATAAGCTTAAAGTGTAATGCTCAAATGCAACTGCAAATGTTAATGACAGGTAAAAGAAAGGGTATCTTTTGTGTTGCCGATCAAAACTTTGAAGACAATCAAAAAATTTATGTTAGCGTATTGAAATATGATGATGCAACTACTCAAGATCTCATTAAAAAATGTATAGTATTCTGGTCCAAAAATATATACCCAAAGCTGATCAACTCTGTACAAAGATAATAAAGTAAAAGTCTTAATTAGTTATTATTCAATATATTTTGATGATCTGATACAAGTGCAATAAACAATAAATGTATAATAAATAAATAAAACAATAAATATATGAAACATACATTTAGCCATTTCTTTTGTGATGAAAATATTCTTAAATTTAAGTTGAAATTATAGGTGTTTGTAAATTCACTAGTGCTGCTGCAATGATAACAATATAGTCTGTTAAAGGTAGCATATTATGATTAACAACCGCATGAGGTTTGAGAAAATCAAACTCTCTCATTCGTCCAATCACGCGTTCTATATGAATACGTAGAGCAGCGATTCGTTTGCCTTGTAGAACATCAGATTGTGATAATTTAACCCCAGCACTCACTGAAGGTGGTCGAATTAATTCAATCTTTTTATTGTCAAGAAGCTGAACAATATTCTTGAATCCTCGATCAGCCATTACAGCACAACCTTCGGGTAACTCTTCTGCTATTTCGCTTTCCTGAAATAACAATTCATCTGAAATTCGACCTCCAAATCCTTTTGAGATGAAATTGATAAAGCCATCCGGAGTGCAAGATATTAAATATTTTAAAGTATTACACTTTTTGTATTCTGACCAAGTTAATGATTGATGCTCTGGATCACTAGGTTTCTCGATTTGAATCTCAAATGCATCAATAATAGCTACCACATGACTATAAGAAGATCTAAATGCTATCGGTAATATTCTTTCTATATCATCAAGCTCAGGCATGTAAACAAACTTTTTAAAAAAATGTGCTAATACCGGAATTGTTTTATTAAAAATAATGCTAGCGTTGCTTACACTCATTCCGAACTGTTCACTTAATCTTTCAAAACTGTCTTGGCGTCGAATTTTCATTAAAGATAATTTTATATTTGTCATATTGATATTAGAAAGAACACTGAGACGTTCTAACATTACATTAAATTGTTGAGGGACTCCAGTATAGGCCTTCAAATTGTCATCAATTAAATAATTTGTGACTTCTACAATGTCACCTTTTTTTATAGGAGACTGTGAGCTACAGTTTATATCACTCGAGTCGCTATTCTCTGAAGGCTCATAAATATCTCGAGAACTGTTTGAATCCGTGAAACTATTATCTGACAATATTTTCTGATCATCTTCGATTATTGGTATTATTGGAGATGTTGCAGTACTCATGCTACCAGTTTTAATTGGTGAGCAGGACTGATCTACTCCGGCTGATAAAAGTTCACATTGGACTGACTTGCTACAATATTTGGGACTTACTTGAATAGCAACAGCACGACTATTAAAATCGATTGGTGTTTGTGTACCAACACTGACTTTAATTATTATATTTGAATGATCACTATCACTTTCAACATCAACACTGTTGCCTGATATGGCATCAAGATTTGGTTTCTGAGGATTAACAACTTCCATATTACCCGAAGATTCACTCAAAATTTCTTGAATTAATTGTTGTCTTCGTCTTTTTTCTGAAGCTGGTCTAGAAGTCCCTCGTCGTTTACGATTAGGCTGACATTCAAACTTGTGTGGTACCACATCAATTTTAAGCTTGGCTTTACCTCCCATTGTCGTGAAATACATATAATTTTCCATATCATCCTTTAGCTGCAAAAGGAACGTATCATTAGAATTATTTAAATGTTTTTATAATAAGGAAACAAAACATTAAAATTTACTTTCAATCGTATTTAGTTCAATATATAACCTAAAACGTCAGAAAATTATAAATATATCAAAGTTATTTCAAGTTATCAGATAACTTTAAATAATCAGTAGAATATTGAAATACTTACATCAAAGTGATCTTCACAACAACAAAAATTCGATTTTGTTTTAGGATAATCTCGGTGCACTGCTTGAAACCACATTCTTCGACGTTTCTCGTCATCAGGAACATGCAAAAACATTTTTTCAGGAGTTGTTTTTGTTGTATTTGTACATAATGGTACAAAACAACAGCGATAACATTTTACATTTGACATTTTTTATATATTTTTGAATATTTAACAAAACAGAACGAACGAACAGAATTTAACAATGACACCACGATATTAACCAAAGCTCAAAGCATAGCACATGTTCAAAGCTGTATCCTACTATGAATCACCCGTAACAGTATGACGTCACACGCGCTTGGCTCGTTCGGAATTTGTCGGCGCTCTTCGGTACCGAATTCAAACTCAAATTTTAATTTGGTATAACTTGTTAATTATTGCGAGAAAAAGAAAAAGAAAAAAACTTTGTTATAAAACTTATATATGATCTTTCCATTAAACAAAAAAAAAAAAAAAATCAAATACCTAATTGCTAAATGCAAAAAACCCCATTCAATAGGAGAAACTTTAGTACTACCAGCAGCTATTGACATAATAGCTACGATGTTTGGTGAATCATATGCTGATCAAATTAAAAGCATTCCGCTGGCAGATAATACGGTGGGAAGACGAATATCAGATATATCTGATGATCTTTGCGATCATCGATGCGATTGATTGCGATCGATTTGTTGATAGAAAAAATTAAATTATCTTCTTTCGCGTTGCAAGTAGATGAGGCTACCGATGTTGCTAAGGATGCACACTTAATAACATATATAAGATATGTTATGGAAAATGATATTAGAGAAGAGTTGTTATTCTGTAAGACAATTGAAGGCAAAGCTACGGCGAGTGAAATTTTTAATATGATTGATAACTTTTTTATTGAAAATGGTATTTTATGGGAGAACTGTGTTGGACTGTGCACTGATGGAGCTCCATCTATGGCAGGAAAAAATGCTGGTCTGCAGGCCCTAGTTCGAAAAGTGGCTCCTCGTGCAGTTTGGACGCATTGTATGATTCATAGGCAATCTCTTGTTGCAAGAAATATGGGTGAAGAATTACTTGAAGTATTTGAAATTATAATAAAAGTTGTTAATTTTATCAAAAATAGTCCATTAAGAGAAAGGTTTTTTGGAAAATTGTGTGATGACATGGGCTCAGAATACAAAGCACTACTTTATTATTGTGAAGCACGTTGGCTTTCTCGTGCTAAAGTACTTCAAAGGGTGTTTGAGCTCAAAAAAGAAATTGCCATTTTTCTTGCTGATAATAAAAGAGATGAAGCAGACATATTTTATGACACGAAGTTTCTCGCAAAATTTGCGTATCTAGTTGACATTTTTAAAAGACTAAGTGATTTAAATAAATCAATGCAAGGAACTCAAATTCATGCTTTTGTTCAAAAGGACAAGATTACGGCGTTTATGAAAAAAATAGAGCTGTGGATAGCTAGTATGAAAAGTAATAACTTTGATATGTTTCCTTCTTTTAAAACTACATGTGTTACTGATGATGAAATAGAAGCAAGTAAAGATCTTATTATCAATCATATGACTAGTTTAAGGAACCAATTTGCGCATTACTTCAAAGATCTAGATATGTCCAAATACGAATGGATTAGAAATCCATTTGTTATTGATAAATATGATAATTTTGGACTTCCAACGGCAGAGCAGGAAATGATAATTGATTTATCTAGTGATAGCACATTGAAGCAGAT